AGGTCCAAGGAGGTGATCCTCCCCCTCTATGAGGCACTGGTCAGGCCGCAGCTGGAGTACTGCGTCCAGTTCTGGGCGTGTGACCCCAGTGCTCTTCCTGCCATGGCAGGGGGTCGGACTCAATGATCTGCTCAGGTCCCTTCCGACCCTAGAAACTATGAAACAGGTAAGTGAGGTCCAGATCATCCTGCTTCTCGGGCTTGGTTGTGGCCGGTGACCTGGGCAGGCCTGCCTCACTGGCACCCGCTCTTTGGGGTCTGGGGCCGTAAGCAGTTGCTAAATGTTGAAGGGAAGTGGGGGGTGGGTTCTCCTTGGGTTAGTGGCACTCCTACTTGCAACTGCTCTGCTGGGTCCAGACCAGCCTCCCTCAGAGGCTGTCAAAGGAAGCAGCAATGCTATGAAAAGCCCAGGCTGGGACCACAGGGGATGGATAACAGCTCTAAAAAACAAGCTGGAGGCATGGCTAGCCTGTGAAAATCCTGCCCCTTACTGGCCAGGAAAGCTGCAGCACAGCTCCATGCCCAGCTGAAAGCCTCTGGGTTGTCTTGGTGCTGTAGGCATTGCCTGCCCAGGTCACTGCTGGGCTCCCCCAGACCTATCTGCAAATGTGATTGAGTCAGCTAATTTCCAGACTCTCTTCTCTCCTCTCACTGAACGCGTGTGCAGAGCAAGCTCAGCTCTGTGCATCCAGAGCCGGATGCCTTGTACTGATCGTGTTGGTTTTCACACATGTGATGTTACACCGCTACCAGCGTTCGAGCAGGCCACTTCCTGAGGGCTGCTTGCATGGGTGCAAAGAGGCAGGAGCAGCAAAGATGCAGTATTCCTCGGCCAGCGCACATAAAGCAGCTTTTGGGCTGGGGCCGTGTGTATGCGGTGCCTGGGGTCAGGACTGCTCAGAAGCACAATGGTGGAGCCTTGCATGGGAGCTCACAGGAAGGCAGAGGGATTTTAGCTTGAGCCATCCAACCATCCTGCATCTTCCTCCCGGTATCTTGACATCTGCAGCCCAGCTCCAAAGGGTGATCCAGGGCAAACAAGACCCCCTGTCCAAAGCATTCCCCTTACTCTAGAAGTACCCCACTAAGGGCACAAAATTTAGAAATGAGCAGAGTGCATCAGACTCAGGATTGAGCTAGTCCCCTGGCTGGACACATGGAAACGTGAGTTTGCGTTAAACCTATTTTTATGTAAATGCAGGAGCAGAAAGAGAAGGGAAAATTATTTGTAGCTTCCCTGTATAGAAGCTACAAACCTGTAATAGAGTTTCTTAAATTCTTTCCTATCTTCTTCTAAGAGGGTATTTCATAATGAGCTTTCTTGCGCTGTGATGCTTGGGGAATCCAGAAATAACACTGTCTTTTGGGTTACAGCTTCTGTTGGCTGGTCTCTGCTGTTAACCTGGATTCTGGGTGTTAGAAGCTTATATTCCGGTAGGCTCATAGCATCTCTTGTGTCAGTCCAATGAAATGGGATAATCCTTTCGGTGTCCGAAACAAATTGTGTGGCAAGGGGAAGTGTAATTCAGCTGATCCCACGGGGCTTTTCCCTCTGCCGACTCCTATTGCTCTGGTGTTTCTAGGGAGATCATTGCTCAGCACGAGCAAAGCAAGAGTCCTCCAGGCTCAGTTTTTCTGATGGTGTGAAATAAGGGTGAACTTAACGTGGGATGCCCTTGTCAGGGGGAGGGCTCCAGTACTGCAGCCTCCCTGGCTTCATCCTGCTGTGGGCTTTCACTGCTTTCCTCTTAAGCAGCTGCTCTGGGAATAGAGCTCCCAGGGTCTCAATGAGGCCACGGAGACTGATGGGTCCTGCAGATGTTCCAGCCTGATACCTGGCATAGGAGTGAGGTCTCGTTTTGGGATTGGGACCAGGCTAGTGAAGCAATGTGGCAATCAGCCTGGGGGAGCTTGGGTCACTTTATCTTCCCGTCCCCTGGGGCAGGATGAGGCAGGGCAGTTTGTTCCTGTGTTGGCTTTGCTGCTTCCTTGTGACTATTGCTCTCTGGATGCAAGTGGTTGGGTTGGGTTGGCTGCGGCTACCGCAGGGCCTGTACGGTCAGTGCACTGGAGGAAGAAAATGCAGTGCCAAACACAGGCCGAAGCACATGCCCATGCTGTGCAATCCCTGCTGGCCACTGGGGCAGAGGATCGGGGAGACCCTCTGATCTCTATACCACTGCACTCCTCTTAGCCCCCAACTAGGTATGTGTCCCTTTGCTGCTCACGTGGACAGTAGCGGTGTCAGTGCTGAGCTCTGCAGAGAACGTGCTGCATCCTGTTGTCTCCCAGGCATTGTCATACATAAAGAGCCACCACCACATAGATGACCCAGCTGACAGACACAAACACGCCGAAGAGCAGGCTGAAGAGGATCAAGGTCCGAGCTTTCCTGGATGCCAGCTTGGCTTGGATGAGGTCTCCTCTGCCCAGGGCCGCTCGTGTCTGAGGTGGGGAAAAGAGCGTGTCAGCAAATGAGAAGACAGTGGCAGTTTCTGAGGTTTGTCTAGACCCTCAGACCCAGGGCACGGTTCCCCTGCACGGTGCTGCTGGCAAAGCAGAAAGGCACAAGAGACCAATCACCGAAAATAGGTGGGGATCTCCCTCCTACTGGCTTCTGTAGCACCTACATATCTCTGTGGGTCTGGATTTGCCAGCTTACAATTACTGTGACTAATAGAAAAAGGTAGAGCTGGTTTCACAGAGTGTTTTCTGCCCCAGGAGACACTGGCCAAATCTTTACTGCTGGGACTCCAGCTGGATAGGACCTCATAGTTTCATAGTTTCTAGGGTCGGAAGGGAC